GACACTGTTCAATTATTTAATTAGTCCACTTGTTCTCGCGAGAGAAGAGAAAAAAAACACAAGAGAATGTTTACTCGAAATTCATTGGTTGGACGAGTCCTTGTTTTGCGACGAATATCGTTTTAATTACCTGGCCTGGTTCGTCGACTCTCAACATCAGGGCTCGACGATCGCTCCCACGATCGTTTTCCACGATTACGTGATACAGTCTTTGATCCTCCTTCACCGTGCTAGTCAGTTCTAAAACGGCTATATAACAATCCTCGACCGCTAACGGCTCTAGATCCAACGCTCGATACCGTGATTCCAGTACTTCACCTGTGAACATTTGCCCGATAATTAGACCCGATGGTGATTCTTCGCAGCGTGTTGTAATATCGTAAATCAACTTAAAATCGTCGAAACGATCGTAGAAACGAGCGATTCTGTGGAAATAAACGAACGAAAAAAAAAAAAAAAAAAAGAGAAAAAAGAAAAAAGAGAAAGAGGGGAAAAAGGGAAAATTTAAAAAATAGAAATTCATTCTGCACGAATTCGCGATAAGATGCGAACTAAATTCGCATGGAAAGGGCTAAGATAAAGTGTTGAGAATCGAGAGGCAGTCGATAGTGGCTCGAAGATCGAAGGCTCGTCGTCGTGAAAGTTGGGGTTCTCCGATTCGAGAAGGACGCGAGAAAAAGGTTGATAATTAAAGGGGGAAAGTTGGGGCTGAAGGGATGCTCGAATTAATTAATCGCGAGTATACCACTTTTCAGTAATAAGGAGTGCCAATTAGTGAGAAGAGACGTACATAAAAAAACTGAAAGAGCAAACCAAAGACTCGAATACTTTTGGCGGTAGAAGCTAGGAAGCAGTCTAACCGGCGTGGAGTCTGGTGCTGCCCCATTCCCAAGCCACGAGCCGGGGCTTCGGGTCGGAACACAGTCTGATCTCTAATTTCGCCGGGCTCCCTTCGGTCGTTGCCACGACAAACTTCTCCGTGATAGCCGGTTTCACCACCTGCGACACAGGTTAACCAACTTTTTTCCCAATCTTATTCGACTCTTATTTTTCTCTCGTAACATGTTTCTGTTTTTTAATCAAATTTTCACATTACACAAATACTCTTTACATTTTTTTCGAAACTAACTCGGTCCAACCGGTGAAAATTTTTGATGTCAATTTTATCGGGAACAATGGAACAACGCGGTATGAAAATGCGCGAGT